TTGGGGTTTAGGGTTTGGGGCTTGGCCTGCCGATGGTTGGCTTCGGGTTCAGGGTTCCAGGTTTCTAACGCCGCGCCGGGTCGGCACCTTCAGCCTTAAGCACTGAGCCTGCATCTGAATTCGCGAGACCCGCGAAGATGGGGATGGACTCTGCTTCACGCAAGGCTTCGTTGTGGAATTATGCTACTCTCATTTCGATGTTTCTTGCGGAGTTTCCTTGTTCCGAGTTTGACCCATCGGCTCGGCATCCCTGAAGGCTTCAGCCTGCGGATCGGTGGCTGCCCTAGATCCGAAACCCTAAAGGCCTAAATCATGCTCAAAGGCCTCTGCCCCAGCATCTGGCACAAGCAGCAGGTAGGCGGTAAGTTCATCACCCATCTCTCCACTGCTGCGTGTGAGGCCTGGGAACCCCTGAAAGAAAGGATCAGGGTTGAGGATTTACGGCTTCGGGACTCAGGTTGGGAATTTGGCGGGTAGGCTTAACTTCCACCCACCCTGAACCCCCAACCCGAACTAGGGTGCACCTCACCATGGCTCTGTGTGCAGAGCTGGCTAAGGCTCAAGGACCCGCTTCGGATGTGAGGCTTTCATGCCTGACCGATGTGGACATGGAGCAGCCTTGAAGCCGGAACAGGCAATCCGCGGGCGAGCAGCAACAGTGGCGTAAAGACAAGAAAGATGCACTGCCAAGACCAAAGCGGATATACGTGGGGCAACCAGTACACTTCTGGGACAAGCATGGTTTAGGGTTTAGGGTTTTGGGGTATACAACAGAGAAAGCGGATTTCACTTTTAGCGACCAACTGCCTGACCCTCAACAGACCTGGCCGTGACCGGTCGCAAACCGCGACCACACGACACGTGAATATGTACGGACTCTGTGTCCATTCAAAACGGGACAAAGCAAGCAAACTCTTTGGCAATTCTAGTGAACCTTCGGAAATGCACAGGCAACAGGCATCAGTGTTGGCCTTCGGAAGAGTCTTCGTCAAGAGCACCATATCCCGTCTGAGAGATCCAGCGGGCGATGGCTAGGACAACCACGGCGAGGAGACAAACGGTGAAGCCGATAAACTTGATGCCGGTCGCCACATCGGAGACTGTGGCAACTAGGTGATTGGTCCGCAATGCGTCCGTGAGGGTCAGTGCCGCTCCATCTTCGAGAAGGTCCGCAGCACACGTCACCAGGACCACCTTCTCCAGAATGCCTCTGATCTGATCGGGTGCAAGCGCTTGGATTGAGAGGTACAAAGCAGCCCCGTAAGTAGGTATGAACAAGAGGTCGAGCAATTCGTACCAGTTGTACCACCAGCGGCCCCGGTCGCCATAGTTGTCTATGAGAGCCAAGGTTGATTCCGCTGTGCGTGGGAAGGTCGTGTCCAGTGGCTTCTCCGGAGACAGCTGGGACCCCAACAAGTTCAGAACTACCAAGAAGAGTCCGGTCAAGCACCACAAGACCAGCAGGGAGCTGGATGTCGACATGGCGCGGCTCGCCATGATAATGATTTAAAGAGTGGAGTGTTCAGGTTGCATGTACACAAGTGCCTACCTTCCTACCTACCTACCTACCTACCTACCTACCTACCTACCTACCTACCTACCTACCTACCTACCTACCTACCTACAAACACGCATGCATACATACATACATACATACATACATACATACATACATACATACATACATACATACATACATACGCACATACATTCATACATGCACATACACGCGCGTGCGTACGGCCGTGGCAAAGCGGGTTCATAGGGTAAAAGTTGAAGCTTCAGTCCGGCCCACGTGCTTGTGCTTGAGAACCCCTTATAACCCTGGAGCCAATCAACAGATCGAGGAAACTCAACTAAAGGGTCCAAGGCTTCGGAATACCGGTCTCTTGAGCCAGTAGTGGACCCCGAAATGTTTTCAGGGCTGCAGAGTCACGGTTCAGGGTTCAGGTTTCGGGTTTGGGGTTTTTGGGTTCCGTGGAAGAGAAAGAACAAGAACATGCGACTTGGGATTGCTGTGTCGTGGCTATGCATTCTGAAACTTTTGACGCGTCTTGCAATCTTAGACTCTTTGCCGTCTCCACGTTCGAAGCTGCGGTTTAGGCTGACGGCGTAATTGCCGCGATGACCCTTGGGAGCCAGGTTCGCTGTGCCGTGCTAGTCTTGGGGGACTGAAGAGGAACCCTAGCTTAGACAACTACCAAGATGTTGCATCGTGCCGCCAGGGGGTCCAGAAGCAGACCGGCTTCCATGCTGGCTGCAGTATTCCGCTGTACAGGTTTCGTTTGGGACACTTCGTGGGAAGGGGAAGCGATGTGCGATTCGGTGGGTAAACAACGCTTGGACGCTCTCGTGGGTTTGTGCATGCGCTGCTTTTCCGCACAAAGCAGAAGCGTTGCTGAAGCCAGTGCGAAACAGCCCCTGCCCCATCCCAGCTTCAACAGCCTGCCCCAGAGGAAGCTTTGGGGCAAGAACCGCAGACTGAATCTGTCGAATCTGCAGATGCCTACCTTGGCTAAACACAATACTACCGAATAGCAGCTGTCTTGGGCTTGGGGGCACCGTCCAACACAAGCAAAGGCCGGAACAAGTCTGCACGTTATACAGATCGCATGCCTGTCGCTCAAAGATGCCCAGACGACACATGCTGAACGGTTTAGGGTTTAGGGTTTAGGGTTTAGGGTTTAGGGTATCCTGAAGTTCCGTTCCACGGGTTGACCCTGAACGACAGCTTTCGGCGTGGCTCGATAAAACGAAATGACGCCAATCGACTCGACATTGTGCTTGCCAAATCTTCAGAACCCGCGGAGCCTTGCGAAATGCAAAACCAAGCCAAGCCACGGGATTCTTTTCTCGGCAGCACATCGAGGAAATACAAGGCAACACGATAACTCTTGAGAGAAAGGGAGCTGCTTGCACTTCGAGCTAGTACCCACTTGCGGCGGGATATGTACCGAGTCGAACAATAAAGCGGCAACGCCGTCAACACAAGCACAGACAAGGCAAGTGTGCATCCTGCCACAAGAGGAGAAAGACCATTTACCCTGAATCCCTGCAATCTCAGCCCTCCGAGGTCCCATCACATCCTTCACCTTTCACCGACTTCAGACTTCGGAGTGTGCGCAGTATCCGCAGGCAGACATCCAGACATGTCTACCTACAAGTCTGTCATTTTCGGAAGTAAGGTGGGCGTCTGCAGCACGTCGCAAGACTCGTCGCTTGCACATTGCAGAGATGTTCACTACAGCAACTGATCCAGGATTGCAGAAAGGTACCACAAGATCACACTTCTGCCGAGAACTACCATATGTCTGACATTTGAGCCTCTTGCGCCCAACCAGACATGAAAGGTTCTTGCTGTTTGCTCTACACCAGGTACCAAGACATGTTGCCAAGACATGCGCTGTGGTCTTGAGAAGCTTCGGAACATGTGCTCTCCGCAAGTTCTAGGACAAAAGAAACTGTGGTGCTTTAGAGGGCAGGTTCAGGGTTCCGGGTTTTGGGTTTAGGGTTTACGGTTTTTTACGGCTGCCATGCGCTCCCGACTGTACATAGCAAATAGCGGATTAACTCTGGCTGGCGCGTCGGCGCAGCTAGCAGGTGCGATTTGAAAGCCCCATTTTGTTGAAGCATCTGCTTGATTCCCAAAAAGTCCCTTCTGAAGTCCCTGTACTGTTGCGGGGCGGTGTGGTCGAGGTAGTAATGGTAGATGGGTAAAGCACGTTCTGTGGTGAGTTCCAGCCAATACCTACTGGGGTGTCCCCTATGTCGAAACTTGGTAAATTTAACCCTATCCTTATATCATGGCGAAAAGACCACGTGGTGTAGGGGGTCAGTCGGCGGTTTAGCCAAAATATCGGTAAGCTGTTTGAGCTGTCGTGTGAGAAGAGTTTGCGACGGCAAGGTAGGGCGTCGTGAAACCTTCCAGACTTTTTCATTAGTTACGTGGGAATAATACGAGGCCTTAACACCTATACATGTTCGAAGGTACTGGTGGAACCAAGCATCAATGGTTTTAAGGTGCTTATTTTCCAACGTGAGGACCTCTAAGCCGTACAATAGTATAGGAACTATGCTTGCCATTAAGAGCTTAGTTTTAGCTTTGATGTTGAGCCTGGCTTTGGATTTTCGGGAGTCGATGGCCACTTTGCTGGGGTGTAGCCAGGAGACCTGGGACCCTAGGTACTTGGCCTCTTCGCTATTGACTACCGGGTCCCCGTTAACATAGCGTACATCTCTTGGCGGGGCTTGTGGGTGTACCAGTAGTTCAGTTTTGGTGAAGTTGAGGGCGATGCCGTAGAGGGAAGATTCTACCTGTATAGCCCTGAGAAACTCTTCCGCCTGCGGCTTGGTGAGTGCTATCAATAGTGTAAAACCGCTCGGGCTGATCTTCAGCATCGCTTGTGAAGGAATGAACATTTGCCTTATCGGCTCTAGAGGGCCCTTGGACCTTTTGCAAAGGGATTGCAATGGCAGCGGTGTGAGCACAAAGAGTGCTTCGATCGTGACAGTGAACCTTCGGTTTTACATGGTAGCGGAGCACTACGGTGCTCAGGGACTTTGTGACTGATAACCTGGTCTGCCGCCATGAGTGAGAAAGATCCTTTCAAGGATCTTGCCTTTTCTGGTGCGCCGTCAGAGTATCGGTTATTCAGGAGGAAGATCTTGCTGAGTGTGGCATCTCTTGAAGAGAAGCATCTATACCTAGCCGGCCCGCGTATCTTGAATCGACTTCAAGGTGAGGCCTGGCGGGCGACGGAGCATCTCTCCATCGGCGAGCTGCGCACTGAGCAAGGATGGCTCAAAGTCCTGAGGGCCTTGGATGATCACTACAGGTACCTCCCGGAAACTGAGCTGAATGAGTGTGTGGATGAGTTTCTCTTCCATCTCAAGCGTCGGGGCAATGAGGGCCCGACTGCTTTCGTGTCGCGCTTCAAGGCGGTGCTTAGCAGGCTGGAGACCTTGGTGGCGGCTGAACGTGCCCAGCAGAAGGGCTCGACCAAGCGCCAGCGACCTGCCGACAAGCACGCCGACAGTGAAGCCGAGCAGCAGAGTAGCAGCCTGAGTTCGGACCATGCAAAGGATGATGACGATGAAGACGAGCTCAGGCTGACCAAGGACCGTGTTGCCCAGGCGGCTGCCGCCTCAGACCAGACGGCTGCTGCAAAGGCGAGTCCCGGGCCAACCACAGATTCCAAGGGCCCTAAGACGGTTGGCAGCTTCATCGACTCGCCTAAGGGGAAGAAGAAGACACCTTCTTCCGGTGGTGGATCCCACCGGAGCCGAGGCACACATCGTGCCGACGAAGAGCGGGCGAACCGCCGCATGCTGGAAGACCTCGGCAAGCTCGAGGTTGGGCACCTGCGTGTGAAGCCGATCTTCCCCGAGGTGATCCTGGGCCACTTGTTCATGAGGAAGTATGGCCTGACCAGAGAGCAGAGGAGCCAAGTGATTAGGTCTACGGGGGGCTCCTGTAAGTTCAAGGATGTAGAGAAGGTCATTCGTGCCTCGGACTACGAAGACAAGATGAATGAACCAGGTACCCGGCATGCCCCGCCTCGGCAAGGTCGTTCTTCACATGTTCTTGCCGCCGAAGAAGGAAGCAGCCTCAGTGAGCCCACTTACTCCGATGATGAAGAAGTACAGGAGGCTGCAGAAAGCTTCGACGAAGAGGGCGACGAGGAACTGGAAGAAGCTTATGAAGTTCAGAAGCGGGCTAAGCACGAGGCTAAGAGAGCCTACCGGTCCTACAAAGATAGCAGGAAAAAGGTGCGAGAGATCAAGAAAGAAAGGCAGCCCTACATGCCAGTGGTCGCCTTGCCGCCCAACGCGTCAGCTCCGAGTGACGCCCTGCCGGTGCAGCCCACTTTCAAGTACGACAAGAAGCCACCCAGACGCCCAGGCAAGGATGCCAAGGGTGGCCGCAAGGGCCGCAGAGAGGACGTCAACATGATCGAGACCGAGCCCCTCAGCGAGTTCTTGTACATGGTCTCTGCGGTGTCCGAGGAGAAGACGTCTGAGAATGAGATAGTTCTCGAGATCTGCTCGGTGACGGTTCCGGCCGGGCTGGCGGTGATCGACACCGGGTGCACCACGTCAGTGGTAGGAGAAGACACTGCAAGGCGGTACCAGATCTACTTCCGCGAGCGGGGTCTCCCGGAGCCCCAGGAGATCTCCTTGCCTCCCGTTCAACTGAAAGGCTTCGACGGTACGCGAACCTCCACCAGCAAGGGCTTGCGCTGGACCGTCAAGCTCGGGAAGCTGTGGGGTCAAGTGACCACATACTCGGTCCCGGGGCAGGCTCCTTTCCTTCTATCACGGAAGGTCTTGCAAGGAATGGAGGCTACGATCGACCTGGGCAAGTGCACAATGACGAGTGTCAAGCATGGGATTCAGGATGAGCCGCTGATGCAGGCGCCAAATGGGCACTTGCTCATCCCCCTGGTGCCTTCAGATGGCGTCGAAGATCTCCTGCAGGTACGGGAAGTGCCACCGTGCTGTGCCGGGTCGTCTCCCGAAGGGGACAAGGGCATCGAACAAACTAAGGTTAGGTCGCCTAAAGAAAAACCCCCTAAGAACCCCAAGCAGCCTTCCGAGATTTCCGATTGGGACAGGAAACGCCACTTCCAGACTGTGATGAAGCATACTAGGTACACGCAGGCCGATGTCGGGACGTTGCGGTATCAGCTTAGGATGCTCTTTGGAAGGGATGTAGATTTTGCGCTGTGTGGTTATCGTCCTCGGTTTGAGCGAGTGCCAAAGCCTGCAGCCACGCATCACCTGCTGGTGCGGGTGGCGCACCTGAGCCCGCAAGGCTCTCTTGAGCTGACCCCCTGGAGCCCTAGACAACCTGCGTCCAGGAGAGCGGTCTTTGAACGACCGGGTGCGTGCATCTTCGCCTACTGCTACGGCGATGCCTCGCAGGCACCTGCCCCTGACGAGCCACATGTTCAGGATAGGGGTTCAGAGGTTGAAGAAAACCTGCCAGATGGTAGAGATTCTGCTGTTGAGCCTAAGGTAAGTGAGGAGGAGAACCCCTTAAGCCCTGATCCCCAGGAGGAAGCCAGATCGGTTGAGAGCACCCAAGCCACGTGCGGCACCTCTGCCAGGTTGCTGCAAGACCGCTGCTTGTGTGACTGCTGTGCCTGCGATACAACCGAAGGAGCCGAACCGGAACGAGAGAGCCCGGCAGATGTAGTTAGTACCCAAGATCTTGAAGCTATGTATGAAGAAGTTGACTGGACTACGTTGGAGCACCTTCCCCTGCCAACCCAGAGTAGACGACAGATAGCCAGACAGGTTGAAGCTGTTAGGCGTGTTCCGTTTCAGCTTGCTTTGTCATCTCTTCGTGAAGAACCTGAAGCTGTCGAAAAGGAACTCAAAGATTGGCTAGGACCCCAGGCCCAGGCTCTCTCTCTGCAGAAAGTAGGTCTGGTGGAAGTGTTCTCTGGCCGCGCGCCGCTTTCTCACCACTGCGAGCAAATCCGCGGTTTGGCAAGCATTAGGTTGGGTACTAGTCAGGGTCAAGACTTTTCCCGAGCCCGGGACCGCAGACTCCTGTTGCTCCTTATTGCCCGCACTAGGCCTAAGGATGTGTGGTTTTCCTGGCCCTGTGAGTGTTGGTCCGGTTGGTCTAGGGTTAACTTAGCTCAGGGTGGTTCTGCTGCAAGGACTGTGCTTGCCAAACGGCAGAAGGAACGGCCGTTTCTTCGCTTGTTTGAACAGACCTGGTCACTGCAGACCATGCTCGGTGGCCATGCTCACGCCGAGAACCCCGTAGGATCCCTAGCCTGGCACGAGATCACCCTAGGCCCCGCCTATGAAGTCGACTTCGATATGTGCGCAGTAGGACTCCTTGACAGAAAGCTAGGTCTTCCCATTCGAAAGCCGACTAGGATAGTGACCTCTGACCCAAGGCTAGTTGAATCCCTAGATAAGTGTAAGTGTCCGGGCCACGCGGAGCATGCCCACCTGACCGGGCAACGACACGCACAGTGTTCCGAGGTCTACCCTCGAAAGCTCTGCCGCAGAATTGCATCGGTGTTTGCCAGCCGTGACAAACATGTTACACCCACTCACGACATTTTTCTGGAAACTGATGAAGAGGCAGACTCCGAGCGCGAAAGCGAACCAGAAGAGGAGGCCGAAGGCAATCCGGCCATGCAGGAGGCGAACCGCCGATCGTATGCGGCCATGATACAGAAACTTCATGTAAATACCGGACACGCCTCGGTTCCTCAGATGCTCCGTCTAGCCCAGAGGGCCAAGGCTCCAGATGGAGTCGTGGCCGCTATCCGGAAGTTCAAGTGCCCAGTGTGTGAAGAACTTCAGGTGCCACCTTCGCACCGGGTAGCAGCGCTAAAGCACACTGAGACCCCGAACCACATCGTCGGGTTAGATGTAGTGCAAGTCGAGCTAAAGCGGGACACTTCCACCGGAATCGTAGAACAGAAATATAATGTCCTCACTGCTGTCGACTATGCCACAGACTTTGCTCAGCAGATTGTGTTGCCCGCGGGGCCGGGAGTGGTCAGCCGTGCTTTCCATTCTCTGTGGTGCCGGCCATACGGGCCCCCACGAGTAGTCTACGTCGACCCGGACCAAAGGTGGATGTCTGGAGAGTTCCAGGAATATCTCCGACAGAATTCGATCACCTTATTGGACTCTGCAACCGAATCGCATTGGCAACTGGGACGGGTCGAGAATCAAGGAATGAGCAGCTTAAGCGTCATGGGTTCTCAAGTGCTCAATGGTTTCTGGGACGCGAGCCTCGGGTCCCCGGTAGCCTGTCCGACATTACTGAGCAGTCCAATGTTGCCATACAAGATGCTGTCACCTCAGAACAGGACTTTGCTCAGAAAATGCAAATTCGACAACAAGCTGCCGAAGCCTTTATCGAGGCCCATGCGCATACCGCTTGGACCCGTGCCATAAAAGGGAGAAGTCGCCCCATGTGGGGCCCCTACGTGGTAGGCCAGAGTGTCTATGTGTTCCGAAAGCATCATCGGGGACAGTTTAGCACTAGGCACGGGGCCTGGCTTGGCCCGGGTCGGGTGGTCGGTACTGAAAGCTTCCGCCCCGATAGTCCAATCCCCCGTGTGATCTGGGTAGCTGTCAATGGGTTTATGTATAAGTGTTCGCCAGAATGCCTGCGACCCGTGGCTGAGGATGAAGTTGCGTTCCGGCAGCTTGCTCAGCAGTACCATGCTGGCCATCTCCCCGCCGAGATGGAACAAGTGACTCCCTCCCGTCGGGGTCCAGCCGGGAGATTCTTTGACCTGACTGCGGACCCTCCCGGGGAGGAAGACTTCCTGACACCCCCAGCTTCAGACGAAGAGGGCGGACCTCCCGCCGAGACTAATCCCGAAAACGATCACCCCGATAGAAATGTCCGCCGCAGGATAACCCTAAGCGAAGAACACTGGCGGGAGAGAGCCGCAGCTGCATCGCCGCGAGGTCCTGCACAGGTCAGGTTCCGTGACGAGCCCGGTCCTTCCGAAGAGGGCGTCGAGCTCCCAGCAGATAAGGCCCCACGACTTGAACAAGAATCCGAGCTAGATCCTGATATGGCTGAGTATTCCCCGTCGGTGCCAGATTCTACTATGGAAGAAACTGCTGGTGTAGCCCCGTCCTCGTCTGCGGGACCTGAGGCCTCCGAGTCTGCCGCGGAAGAGAACTTGCATAATGTTTCCACCTGCTGTGAAATTGCATTCGACGTCTTCGATGTTGATCTGGATGCTAATGGCCTAGGTTTGTGGAGTGCCTTAGAAGAATGTGTCGCCGTGACGGCCAAGCCTGGCCAGAAACGTCGTGTCGAGGTTAGCTTCCGCAAGCTGGGGCCTGATGATCGTGTCAAGTTTCGCAGTGCCATGAGGAAGGAATGGCAAAGCTGGCTAGAAAATAAGGTCACTACGGTTGTCAAAAGTAGAGGGATCCCTAAGTCCCGGGTGATAGGTTCCCGATGGGTCCTTACTTGGAAGAAGTCCTCCGATCCCGATGACCGCTCCCTGTCAGCTAAGGCGCGACTAGTGCTAGTAGGCTTCCAGGATCCAGATTTAGGAAGAATTGCCACGGATTCCCCGACCCTTCGGAAAGAGAGTAAGCACATCATCCTGAGTATCTGCCGAGTCAAGGCTGGGTCATTTGGGGTGCCGACATTAAGACCGCTTTTTTGTCCGGAGATGCCTCCAACCGCCAGCTGTACTTCAAGCCTCCCGCAGAAGTCCAAGAATTCATGAATCTTAGCGAAGACGATGTCCTCCGGCTAGAGAAGGCAGCTTATGGCTTAGCTGAGGCTCCCAGAGCCTGGTTCCTCCGACTCACCCGTGAGCTTTTAGCTGTAGGTCTCGTTGTGTCACAGCTTGATCCCTGTGTGTTCTGCCTTAGAGAAGAATCCACGAGTAAGCTCCTAGGAGTGTGTGGCGTCCATGTGGACGATCTTCTTGGCGGGGGGGACGCCGTGCATGGACAAGTGCCTCGCAAGGCTTCGTGCCAAATTGCCTTTCGGAGAATTCCGCAAGAAAACAATTAAGTACACAGGAGCCGAAATCCGCCAGAACGCCGATTTCTCGATTGAAGTGACTCAAGAGGCTTATGTAGACAAGCTAGAAGAAGTCAGCACGAAACCGTTTGGCAAGGTGTCCGACGCACTTAATGAGCCCACTCTGATGCGTGCCTGCTGTGGCCAGCTCGCTTGGGTGGCGAACCACACTCGCCCTGATCAGGCCTTCCTTGCGTCATACCTTCAGGGAGTTCAGGACAAGGCCCTGGTGGCCCATCTTGATTTGTACAATAAAGCAGTCCGGGAAATGAAGAGTCGCAAGGTGTGCCTGCGTTTTCCTCCGGTCCCCATTGACCGCTGGCGTCTCATAGTGATCACTGATGCCGGCTGGGGTGTTCGAGCCAATGGCGAATCCCAAGGTGGCCTCTTACTGTGCCTGTGTGACCAGGATGTCTTAGATCAAAAACCGGGCAAGACTTGGGTTGTCGAGTGGTCATCTAAGAAATTAAGGAGGGTTGTGCGTAGCTCTACCGCTGCAGAGACACTGGCCGCTCAGAACGGTTTGGACTCCATCGAATTCGCTCAGGCGTTTCTTCAAGAAATTGTCCACGGCATGAGTCCGCGCCAGTTTCAGCAATGGGTTCCCGAACAACCGTCCGGCCTGGTGATAGACAGTAAGTCGTTGTATGACGCCCTCACGAGGTCAGCTTGCAGCAGTGCTCTTGCGATGGAAAAGAGGCTGGCGATTGACTATGCCATTGCCAGGGCATGTCTCGCAGAACGACATGTACGTCCATACTGGACGAACAATCTGCAGATGATTTCTGACTGCCTGACCAAGCTTCGTGGAAATAAGGAGATTCTGTACCGCATGCTTGATACGTGCACTTTCCACGTGAGACCAAGCAAGGAGTCAGGTCGTAAGGAAGCAGCCCGTGCCAAGGGTGGCCCTAGTTAGTGTAATCGTGCCCAGGAGTAAAAGATGCATGCTGGATGCTGCCGAATGGCATCATCCCCAATGATGGGGAAATAGGCTAGAGATTGGGTCTCTGTTTATTGTGAATTGATGGTTTTTGCAACGGGCATCGTAAGTAATGCCTAACTCCTGCAGGCTTATGATAATGTTTTCTCATCTTTTTCCACTGCATAGACCCCTGCGACACCGCGTGCAATTGGGTGATTCTAAGTCCATGTGCCACGATGCCTTATCAGCTGAACGATGCTACCTCCAGGTCTCTACCTCAGACTGCGTATGTGTGTGCGTGGTTGCCGAAGCCTTCGATCTTAAGTGTGCATCCGCCGGGGTAAGTTCCCCTCCTCCAAGTGGCGTCTTGAGACAATGGCTGCTCGGAACCTTAAGCAGCAGAGGTCCCAACAGGAACCCATGGCCAAGGACGAGCTGGCTGCCGTGGTCCATCGCGTGGTTGCTTGCAACCAACTTGAGGAGCTCCTGGCCGAGATCGAAGTGCAGCGCCCGGACAAGGTCAGCCGCCGTGGCGGTGCTCCTTCCGAAGAGGGTTTGTCGGACTACTCACTGTTGGACAGCCCAGTGCAGTCCCCGAACCGTGGATCTTCGTCCCAGCCCGTGGTCCGGAATGGACCACCTCCGCCGCAGCCAGTGAACCGACCGGCACAGCGCCAGAACCGTGGATATGATGGTTCGAGTCCTCGAGTCAACCAGCCTCGACGAGGACCTCCACCCCCACCGGGAGTTCCCATGCCTGGTTCCCCGGGTATATCGGACCTCTTCTCCTCCGACGCCGAGTCCCTTGCGACCTCAGTGGACCGGGAAGAAGCATCCAACGCCGAGATCTACACATTGCCTACGACCTCCCAGAGGCCTCTTCCTTCCGGGGTCCCGGATGTGGCAACATGGGCGAAGACGCTCCTGGTGCTCCCGAAGTATGCCGAGAAGCGCTGGTCCTATCGCCGCTTGCTCGAGAATGCCTGGACGGACAAGGACATCCTCTCGTACCTGCGCTGGATCCGCTCGACCTACTACCAGGAGGCCAGCAAGCCAACCCCAGGCAAGGCCTCTGACCTGGCCGCTTTCCTCCTCGCCGTCGATTACCCGATTATGGAGAGGATCGGCAAGGTGCAGGTCCGCACACTCGTCGATGACTGAGTGCGATCGTTCTGTCTGTAAATGGCATCTTCCTGTAAAGGTATCTGCGATCCTTTTCTGCAAGTGATTCTTTCTTTCTGTTGAACCTAGTACCAAAAAGGGCACAAGTGCCCTGCGATGAAGGCAATCTGTCCATTGAGGGCGTGTAAAACCGCTCGGGCTGATCTTCAGCATCGCTTGTGAAGGAATGAACATTTGCCTTATCGGCTCTAGAGGGCCCTTGGACCTTTTGCAAAGGGATTGCAATGGCAGCGGTGTGAGCACAAAGAGTGCTTCGATCGTGACAGTGAACCTTCGGTTTTACAAATAGGGTATCATCTGCGTATTCTAGGTCGTACACCGGTTTGCCTACTGACCAAGTATTGGTAGGTACACCATGTGTGCGAAGCCTTCGATCTACATCGAACATGAGAACCGTCATGACCATAATGAAAAGGTACGGACTAAGGGGGCATCCCTGTCGAACGCCTGTGTGCGGTGTAGCCTGTGTTGTGCTGCCTTGCATGCCCAGCGTGTTGAAAGTTTGGTCTTGGTAAAGGTCTCTGATAATGTCTACATAGTGGCGGTGTACTCCGAGGCGTTCGATCGCTATGCACATAGATTCGTGGTCAACTTTATCGAACGCAATCTTCCAGTGGAGCAATAATACATGCATCGGCTGCCCTGTCTTGAGCGAGTAATCCTTTAGTCGGCGAAGGATAAACAACGGCTGCAAGGTGCTGCGATTTGCCCTAAAACCATACTGCGTGGCCCTAAGGTCTGCGTCGTGAGCGGCCGCTAGACGGCGTTGTAACAATGCCGCGTGTATTTTGTAAACTACATTCAGTAGGGAAATGGGGCGGTATGAAGCCGGGTCTGAGTCGCTGCCTTTGCCCTTGAAGATACTGCAATGTTGGCTTCTTTCCAGGCCGCTGGGACAGATTTGGAGGCAAAACACGCGTTGAGAACCTTCAAAAGCTCCGCTTCCACGACGTAATCTAGAATCTTCAAGGATTCCGCAGTGAGGCGGTCTGGCCCACGCGCCTTGTTACGTTTCAAGTCTCTGAGAACGTCCGTGAGCTCCTGTGTAGTAAAGGGAACAGGTTTTTCCGTAGGCGGTGTAGCCAAGGGAGGGGATTCTTTCAGGAGTTGTCGCTCTTCAGCGGTGACAGTGGTGGGACCCCACTGCTGCTGACTAATGAATTCCGCGAAGACTTTGTGGGTTTCCGACCAAGGGACTGGACTCTCGTTGCGGTTTAGCCTGGACTTGCGTTCCCTGAATCCTCGCTTGAAAGTTTTAACCACCTTCCAGAGCGAGGTTGACGACTC